CTCTGACTTTATGAAGTCATGGAAGTATTTATGAAGCTAATATTGACCTAATCTTCAAGTCAGACAAAGACAGTACCAAAAAGTGGGGAAGGGAAGCTACAGATCAATATCAATGTGTGTGTGTGTGTGTGTGTGTGTGTGTGAGAGAGAGAGAGAGAGAGAGAGAGAGAGAGAGAGAGAGGCTTCTCCGTGTAGCCCTGGCTTTTCTGGAACTTGCTCTGTAGACCAAGCTGGCCTCAGATTCAGAGATTTGCCTGTCTCTGTTTCCCAAGTGCTGGGATTAAAGGTGTGCACCACCACCACTGCCTGGCCAGACCAATATCCTTTATCAATGCTCTTAAATTATTAGCAGGTAGGATTCAGCAATATCTTTTTAAATTATGAAACATAAAAAGATTTATTTGTTCCAGGGATATAAGGATAGTTCTTTACTTACTCCGCTTGTTTGCTTTATATCCATGCATGCGTGCGTGTGTGTGTGCGTGTGTGCATATGTGTGTACACATGTTTATGTGGGTACAGGTGGGTGTGGATGCGTGGGCGCAACAGAGGCAGAGAATGACCTCAGATGTCTTTCATTAAGTTCTGTCCATGTTGCACTATAGAAGTTATTCTGAAATTTACATGGAAAGGCAAAAGAAATAGAATAATAATTGTGTATACAAAAAGGGAAATAAGGTGAGGGTACATAGGTCAGTGACACAGATAAGAGCAGCCAGAAATAGGCCACACAATGTGCTTGGCTGGCTTTTGGCAGCAGTGATTCAGAAGATAGCATTTCAAACAGTGCTGCTGGGATCTCATAAGCAAAACCAAATCCTTTGACCTAAGTGCTGTCTCATGCAAGAGTAAACTCAGAAAGAATCATGAGCTTAAATGGAAAACTTTTAGGGAAAAAATAGGAGATTACAATTAGGTAGAGTCACATGTGCCCCATAAGAGAAAAAGTGGGTTGATTAGACTTCATTAAAATGAAACATGTTTCCTTGTAGTAGCCCCTGTTAAGAGGAGCGTGTGGGGGGCAGAATGGTAGTACACACTAGTAATCCCCACGTGGGAGGCAGAAGCAGGCAGATCTCTGTGCGTTTAAGGCTAGCCTTATTTACATAGCAAGTTCCAAGTCTCTCAAGGCTACATAATGAGCCTGTCTCAAAACAAGCCCTAAAAGGAGGATGTTATAGATCCTCCTTTAGGAGAATTCGGAGAAGAGACTTTTATGCTGCATGGCAGCAAAGGCATCTAGAGCATCTAACGGACGCTGAAGGTTCAGCAGTGAAAGAAGAAAGTCCACCTAGAATGCGGCTAAGCACAGGATGAACATGCCATGCTCTGGTCTCAGTGTTTGTGTGTCCCCAAATGCGTGTGCTGAAATCCTGCTCCCCATCCTGCTGGTGTGATGTGGTCCTCTAGAAGAATACAGGAGGACGTCCCG